CAGCTCCAATTTTCCTGCAATGCATAGTAAATATTTTTGTAACCACATATTGAAGTGAAGTCTCCAACAGGACTGAAACTGGCTTAACTATGGTAGTGGTCAAATGAATTAGAGCAATAAACTGTGAATCTATTTTATTATCTTTCAGAAATACCTTAAGCCATCAATGTACTGAACTCTTTATTATTTTTGTATTTGATAGGTAATAAGCAAGAACATATTACACTGGACTGTCGTATATCTTTCTCATGTACATACTATATCCCACTAATAGAAGCCAGATGGCAGATCAAACAATGCGATATAAGAGACAAATCCCTGTGATGATTTGTTTAGCTGTCAATGAAACTAAAAAATGAGAATATTGTGGTCTGTCTGCAGCTGCTTTCACTAAAATTCAGGAAATTTGAGTTGTTGAACCACAGGAAGCAGTCATGAGTTGATCAAAACTGGAATAGATTCTTTTGTATTTCACATAATTTGTGGCTATTGCAGAAAGCTTGGTAACTACTGTTTCACTCAGGCATTTTATCTAATTATAACTAGTAAATCAGAAAACTATTTCCCGAAAGTGCAATAACATTTCCTTTTTCAAAACACTGAATACTTTTCAACTACATCATGTGTCTCACCAGGAAAGGCAACATTTCAAACATTTATCTGGAAAGTGGTCAAGAGGTAATATTTGTCCTTAAGCTTGGATACGAAGTGCCACAGCTGCTCGGGGGCAGGCATTTACTCCTGTTTCACAAGTTCTACTTCTCACATCTCTGTAAAGAATGCAGATGGTACCAGAGGAATAGAAGTGCTTTATAGTATCAAGAAATTATGGATATGGAACTAGACATGTTGTCCATTTGGAGGTACCCCTTCACTCAAAGAGTGTCTCCAGAATTGGTGCAGACACTGAAGGTGGACACACAGGATGGGGCACATGAACAACTGTAATTCACAAACCTACATTTCCAGGCCCTTATACAGTACTGCACTATAGTACTGGTACTATATAAAATAGTCCCAACTCTTCTGAACATTTATGTTCAAATTATCAATAGACAAGAAAATTTGGGCTTAATTGCCCAAGGCCGAAGCTGCTTGCAGCTTCAGCTCTTAAAGTGCCAACGCCCTACCAGGGAAAGCTCTACCATCTCAGAAACCACCCTTCAAGCAGGGAATCCAAATCAACTCATTAGCTTTCTTGTCATCTTTCTACCTCTTTTTTCTTCCTTTGCCTATTCTGTCTTCCAAAACCTCTCCAAGGGAAAGAATCATTGAATCACAGAATAACTCAGGCTTCGAGAGACCCCTGAACGTCATCTTGCCTGACTCTCCTACTCAAGGCAGAGTGAACCAGAAAAGGTTGTGCAAGGCCTCCACCCAGCTTTACATCATCCACAAAGGAGCTGACAGTGCACTCTGCCACATCACACAGGGGGATACTAAAGACATTCTTGGCCCAAGTGCTGATCACTGAGGGTTGCAGATAATAACTGGTTGCATGGAGGACTTTGTTCCCAACCAGAGTCCACCTCTCCAGCCCAGATGGCACCAATCTGGCTATAAGGACACCATGGGAGACTCTATCAAATGTCACACACAGAAATGTCAAATTTCTGTCAGGATTCCACATCTGAGCTGGCCTTATGGACTCCTTATGCACCAGGGATGTTAAGAGACAGAGTCCTTCCGGACCCTCAGGGGTCCCTACTGGGACCAGTGCTGTTTAACATCTTCATCAATGACATAGACAGTGGAATCGAGTGCACTCTCAGCAAGTTTGCAGGTGACACCAAGATGAGTGGTTTGGTTGATGCACCTGAGGGACAAGATACCATCCAGAGGGACCTGAACAAACTTGAGAAGTGGGCCCATATGAATGTCATGAGGTTCTACAAGGCCAAGTGCAAGGTCCTGCACCTGGGTCAGGGCAACCCACGGTATCAATACAGGCTGGGGCATGAAGGGATTTGGCACAGCCCGGTGGAGACGGAGTTGGGGATGCTGGTACTGGTGGATGAAAAGCTGGACATGAGGCACCAATGGGCACTCTCAGCCCAGAAGACCAACCATATCCTGGGCTGCATCAAAAGAAGCATGGCCAGCAGATCAAGGGAAATGATTCTCCCCCTCTGCTCTTCTGAGACCCCACCTGGACTCCTGTGTCCAGCTCTGGAGCCCTCAGTACAAGAAAGACATGGGCCAGCTGGAGCAGGTCCAGAGGAAGACCACAAAAATGATCAGAGGGCTGGAATACCTCTGCTATGAAGAGAGCCTGAGAGAGTTGGGATTGTTGAGCATGGAGAAGAGAAGGCTCTGGGGAGACCTGATTGCAGCCTTTCAATATGAAAGGGGGGCTATAAAAATGGTGGGGGCAAACTTTATAATAGGCCCTGTAGGGATAGGACAAGGGGTAATGGTTTTAAGTTAAAAGAGGAGAGATTTAGAGTAGATCCAAGGAGGAAATTTTTTGCAATGCAGGTGGTGAACCCTGGAAAAGGTTGCCCAGAGAGGTGGAAGAAGCCACATTCCTGGGAACATTCAAGGTCAGGTTGGACGGGGCTCTGAGCAGCCTGATCTGGTTGAAATGTCCCTGTCACTGCAGGGGGGTTGGACTAGATGACCTTGAAAGGTCCCTTCCAGCCCAAACCATTCTATGAGTCTATGAGTCTATAAGAAGATTTCTTTGCTATTCTTTTTCTTCCAGCCTGCATTGTGTGTGGTAGAAAGTGGTCAACCAGACACAGACTGTGCTCTCACAGTCAGTACCATGTTGTAGCACATGCAAAAGAGACAAAAATCTTCAAGACTGTTGACTTATAATGGTTGTCTCTTCACTGATCCCATCTGCTGCCTCCTCTGGGAAATTACCTATTCTAATTGCTTGTTTGGATTTGGCTTTGTTCAAATTGTTCTACAGTACGAACAAGACAGTTACCGCTTGCAGACAGCAGGTCTAAACATACTCTTGCTTTTTCTTGCATTTTTTCTTACTGTAAGTTTGATTTTTGACACTTACTGCAGTCTAACTGCAGCAAAAATGGAAGCCACAGATGTTGGGAGGAGGGAATAAAGTTTTATTATGTGCAAAATGGAACAAAAAATGCAATATAAATCACTGAAATGACTCATTTCCTCAAACCAAATATCATGTGAATTCACTTCTAAATTGATGTATACATGATCAGGCAAATCAACACAACTAGTCTACAAAATACTAGCAGCTCTTTTTCTCTAGGGACTGGTAAACAGAAAGCAGGCATTTCCAAGCCCTGATTAAAGTCAGTAATTCAGGACATAAGAGCGATAAGAACAACACCTGGTTTTAATATGAGGATGCATCTCCTTAATTTCCCTTGTCTCCCTTTACCATGGCATGGGCAGTGACAATAAATTATAGAGATTAAATGACTGTTTCTTGATACTATTCTGTGCAAAAATACTTGCCCTTTTACAGATATGGAGTAATTTGTTGTACTACATCTAAACATCTGCTTTGCTGGCATTCAAACAACTCTGTAGTTAATGCCATTTAGCTTTCAACCTTCTTTATGTATAGTCCTCTGTAAAACCTCAGTGTAGTCAAATTCTATATGGTCTCACAATCTTCAGGGTACAGCTTTGTGAGGTATAGCAGGTATATGCAATCACATCACCTCTCCAAGCTGAGATGAGGGGGCGTTCATGGCAAATTCAATCTCAATTTATAGTAGTTGATTCTCATAGAGGGTAGGCTAGTGCAGAGCGTTTAACAAACAATATAAACTATACATATTCACATGCATAGTATAAAACATTTGATACTTTATGTTGTTAAGCAATACGTTGATGACAGGATATGAAAAACTGTGTGGCTGTGGAGCAAGTTTAACACCTCAGTTAAGTACCAGGAAACTGGTAACTTTTCTGTTAGCTGTTTGGTCAAGAAATGGATGTGTTCAGTATGGCTGATGGCATTTCTGAAGTAGGGGCAATTATTAGTCCTGCCAGAGAATGTTAAAACTCATCTGTAATTACAAATCGCAAGAAATAGTGGTGGAGAAGAACAGAACCTTGTGAAAGACTTGGAAATGTAAAGACACACATATCTATGGAGCAGAAATCCTCTTCAGTAAAAGCTTAAGCCAGAAAACAGCTTTTGCTTAAGTACCACGTTTCAATAGCTTTTTAGTTGCTTGACAGAAAGAGGGAGACCTCTTGGAGCTGACCTGAAGGACACCACAGATGTATGCCTTATTCCTTTATTCCTTGTCACCTGTGTGTTAACCTGGGAGCTGTGCTGTCTCAATTTTGTAAATCCACATTTAGTCTTTACTTTTACCTGAACATCTGTCAGAAACTGTGCTTGATTACAGGATATTTGACAAAAAACAAGGTATTTCATTCTGAATCTTGAGACACTGCAATGACACCCAGAAGTCCAATTGTGTTCTCAAGTGTGCTGAGAAGGTAATGGAGCTCCTCCACTGTAGCTACATAAATTGTGTCAGTGTCAAAGAGATGTCTCCTCGGAACTCGCGTTAGTTGAATGCAAGACAATGATGAGAGTGGACTGAGCAGGAGCCATTTGAGTCTCGTCCCAAGCAAGATCCTTAGGAAATACCAAAATACAAAACCAAGAGTATCTAAATAATAATACTTTGCAAATACTGATATATTTGTTGAGTGGTCTCAAAAAGTATGCAAGTGTAACTAATATGATTCTACATTACTGGAAAATGCGAAATCAAAATGTTTTGCTTTGTGCTTCATGTCATGTGGTAACTCCTAAGCAAAATGAAATTTCTGGTCCTTGTGCAGATAGCTGAGGAAACTTTCTCTGGGATAGCATTTAGAATTGGGGTTAACATTGTCCTAGGCACTGTAACAATTTCTACATTCTTCTCAGATCTCAGGCTTGGTCTCTTATGACCTCTATCTTCACAAAGTAAGTGTGCGGTTTGTGTTTTCTATTAGCTAGCAAAATGCACAGTGTTCTGCAGCAGCTTCTGTCTCTAGAATTGTTATACGACTGCATTAAAAGTACAGCCCTCAGTCTGCGGTTGAGTCCCTTCTGAGCCTAGGTCAAGATTATTACAGTGCCCTTTGGTGTTTGTCTTGGTAGCTTTTGCTGGCATCAGATACCGAAGGTTCTTCCAAAATCTGGAATTCACAGGAAGAGATTTATCCTTTTTCCACTTCACAACCCTCTTTGATGGTAAAAGAGACAGTGATTCTGGAAAGAAATTGTAGTCACTTATAGGCATATATTCAATTAATATGATCTTAGTTTTTCTTTCAACTAGGGCTTTATGCAGTCCACTCTCAAGTTCGTATATGGCTCTGTCAGAAACGTAGTTCTGGCTCAGTATAATGATTAATCTTCGGCTTTTGTCGATGAATGAATGGATATCATCAACAACCGCTGCAAATTAAAGATAAATGTGTTATTAAACTAAATTGAAAGGGTAGGTACTGAATCGATTTATCCTTTAACAATCGCACATGTACCAAAAAAGTTCCCTTTATAAAGTGTCAGTGAGCAAGCATCCTGTCCCTATGAAGAGGTTAATATGCATTACAGATTAAGAGTGTGAAAATGAGCTCAGGTATGGCCAAAGCTTGTTTTCTAGGGCAGACAAAAACCTGCATACAATCTCCAGCTACCCTAGACAGTTGTCTGTCAGTAGTCACATAGTTAGAAGGTCACAGCAAAATTTATTTTTCCTCCAAACAGATATCTCTTTGCTCTTTCATAACAGATACCATTGGAGTGATTCCACAGAAAGACACCATCAGCGACCTCTCTCTAAATGTTTAGTAACACTCAGGTCACTTCTTCCTTTACTCCAAATAATACCCAAATCTATTGCCAGTAATCCAAGGTTGAGAAGATTAGCATATGATGACAAAATGAGTTCCAACTGTGTTTTAGATCCATGACTTTTGTCATGACAAGTGATGAATGAAATCAGATGTTGGTACCCTTTAAACATGCTTGCACCAAATTGAATTATCATGGACAACTTCCTGTGCTTGCTTCAGCACTGTGGGACAAGGTCTACAGACATCAGAGATCTAGAAAACATGCCTTATAGGGAAAGGCAAGCAAACTGCAGTAGTAACCTAAAGAAGAGAAAATTGAGAGGAAAAGGAGACTGACAAGGGTATTACAACACATCAAAGGCTCCTGTAAATAGAAGGAAATACTGTTTTCCATATTGACAATGGATCAGACCAGAGTAAAGGAAATAAGCTAAAACTGTTGAAAAATCAGATTGAATACTTCAGAAAGCCTTTTGTTAATACTTAAGGAGAGAGAATAACTGGGAAAAAAATGGCTTAGGAGAGCTGTGGCACCTCTCAGGTGAGAAAAATGTCTGGAATGGATATAAGGAGACAAGATCCTACCTTGTGAAGGAGGCTGACTGACCTTATTGTTCTGTGGTGTTAACAGTGAAAAACTGTTCCTCAACTAGATCTTTGGACTAAATGGAATCTCCCAGTATCTTTTTTTTCCAAGCATCTGGAAAAGGCCATCTATCCATAGGCCACTTAGAGAAACAAAATTCCATGTTCTCATTTCTATCTTGTTATGGCACCCATTGCATTCACAAAATGGTTTCAACCATCACACTGAAGATAGAGCAAACATGTAAATTGCCCAAGAATGACTAGTACCAGAGACACCAGTTGCTCTGTGCAGCAAATGTGAGTTCTCAACACACATTTGTGTTCTCAACACATTTGTGTTGAGAGCTCGTGCTCTCAAAAAAAGCAGAGCAAGAGCATTATTACTGTGAAACATCTGACATCATCTGTCTTTTCACCTTAACTTTCTCCATGCTAGCTTTTTCATCCACTCATCTTGGTTCTGTATAATTAAAGACATGTGCATGTGTGTGTATGTATATAGGTATGTATGAATTCATAAATACATCTATAAAACACACAAAATGTGTGCATGCAAACTTTGCATGCACATAGTCTAGATTAAATTTAAAATGTAGTATTATTTCAGTGTACAAAACATTTGACAGAATTCCTTCTAATTACAGACTAATTACACACAATTCATCTTTGTGTGAAAATTATGTGCCTATTTAAAGACAAGAATATTCAATACACTTACCTCCTCCAGGGGATACATCCCTCTCAAATATACATAACTTGTACCCAAAGTTTTCTTCTAAGATCATGGGTAATATCCTCAAAGCAAATTCTCTCTCTTCTTCAGTAGGAGAAATGTAGTCTTTCAGGTAAGACACAAATGCATCATATTCTTTTCCATCTGGAAATAAATCACCAATTGTTGTCTTGTTACTAACCATCAAAAATACAGTATCTGATCCACCATTCTGGTTTTCAAAGTTATTGTCTCAGTAGCAAAGTATCTAGAAATTCCTACTCTGTCCTTTGACACCACAAACAGTCTTCAAACAAAAAAAAATCCTGAATCGATGTGGTAGTTTAACTTCACTGGCAGCCAAACACCACAGAGCCACTCACTCACTCACTCACTCTCCCTCCTGATGGGGAATAGGGGTGAGAATTTAAGGGGTAAAGATCCCGCAATCTCCAAAGAGAGAGAGCCTGAGAGAGAGCATTCTAGACAATCCTCATTAATATACTGAACATTACATTATATGATATAGTGAATCCATCCTCAATATGCAAATACCAATTATGCAAATACCAATTTGGGTTTGCTAATTTCACTGATTTTTACAGTGATTTCTAATTGAACCTTGCCACAGAATGACTATCTGGACTGATACAGTGGCCACATAGCTTTGCATCTTAAACTGTACTTCTTTGCTTCCCTTTCCAGATACTTTATTATACGTAGCTTATTACAGAGAATACGAACTTAAGCCCATGAAACCATGAAAGCCCCTGCACATGCAAGAGCTCTAGGAGTAGGAAATCCATTGTATAATATCATAAAATCAGTTCCTCCAGGGTGGCATACTCCAGATTCTCAGAGATCCTCCCTGTAAACCTTTGTCCGAAGTGATAACTAATGTCAACAGATAGATAAATACTGCTGGCAGGCATAAATTACATCCACCCATAACTGAGAAATCTCCAACCACTGCAGTTTACTCAAGCTATATTCAAGCTGATTTAGAGACTAAGGAAGGCTAAGAAAACCAGGTACATATATACAGCAAGCTTTTTCAGAACAATTTTCAGAAAAAATATACCCAGAACTGGGTAACTGTCAGGTTTGCTTCTTAAGTCAAAGGTCACAGTGATGCTGCCTGGTAAGATACTAGTAGTGTGCTCTCCTGCTCTTCTTAAGCGCATTTAGTGACAAGTCTATAAACATTGCAATGGCCTCTTCAGTCAAGGAAGCAGTTTAACCTTCATGTCACTGAAGGTCATCAGTGAGGTGAAAACAAATTTCTGTCAGACTGCCAGTCTGACAACTCAAGAGTGTTCATCCTCTTTACAGATAGATATTTGTAAATTTCTCCACCTTCATCAACTTTTGTGATGAAAAATATGACAGAATAAAGCACATCTTAACAGCATTGAACCACATCCCTTTCACTGCCTGCTCCAGAAGTAGCTTCTTCACTATGTTTATCTGCTGTTACTTCCCCAGGTGTATAACAAACTCACTTTAGCACCTGATGATCAAGGTCTCTTTTACGTACTCTTTACTGTTTCCACTCACAAAACTCCCGGATTTATTTTGTCCCTTCCTCAAAGATGATTGTTTTATAGAAACTACCAGAAACTACTTTTTAATCAATACACTTATTTCAATGTCAGTGTTAGCCAAGTCATACCTCCAGCAGTGTCATCTCTTCTGCATATATCCCTGTAAAATAGAACTAAGTCAACTCTAAACATCACACAGACAAACACCGCAGCTACAGCAACACATGGAAATAGTACAGCAAGGACCATTCCAATTGAAAATATGTGCACAGGCAGATCTCGGGTGTTCCCTGTAAAACAGAAACCCAGGAAATTATAGCTTTAACAAAGAGTATTACATGTCACAGTTACTATATTCAATACTGACGGCATCACCCTAGATAATCACAATATTGATGTGAATCCTTTCTTGCTAATACTTCAAGCACATACGCATTTGTCCTGAGATAGAGAAGAACTACAGAACATGGTTTACTCTAATAACTGGAGAAACAATCTTGCATGCATTTACACACACTCCACACATAAATGAACTGTATGTGGGATCAAGACTGACACTACAGATCCTTATAGATGTACAGTATTCCAAGCTGGTGGTCACCCACTTTTATTATGAGTTTTCTACATTATTTCCTGCTATTCTCTACCTTTGACCCCTCTCTCAGTTTGTCCATAACAGTCCTTGATGTCCCCGTTAATCTCTTTGGCCAAGATCTTTTTTTTTTCCTTCTGTCTCTATTCTCTTTCAGGCTTCTCCCCCCCCTCCCCCCCTTAATTATTATTCTGTTATCTTTGTCTTTTCAGTTCCAAATACAGATTTTTTAACCCTTATATCTTTATGAAGTCTTTATGAAGGCACTGTCAAGTCATGCTCACTGTAGTCTGTGTTTCATTTGCTTTATTATATGCATAATCTGTTGACTAGTCTATTTACACATATTTTCTCCCAGTGAAGCTTGGAAAAGTCTTGAGAGAGATGGAAAATAAGAAAGGAATGCCATTTTCCATGAATATCCAGGCTGTCTGGACTATAAATGTGAAGAACTACATGTGGAAGAGATCAGCTATTGATAGCTAGAAGAACAGAGTCTGTGACAAGAGAGAAATCATTGACCAGAACATTTCAGATATTATCAGAAATATAAAAGATTGACCTTTCCAGAAAAAAAAAAAAATCCACAAAAAATCCCCCAAACCCTCACATTTTAATTTTAGAAAGAGCTGCTTAATAAACAAAGTGATCCAAACAGCAGCCTCTGGACTGCACCAAGCTTTGGGTAGTTAACCCTGGTGATCCCATGAGTCTGATGAATAGGAGAGCACACAGAATGCTCTGCCATGGGATCTAACAAAGTACCACCCAGGGTTCTGTCAGTCAGAGTACAGCCATGTCCACAGCAGCAGCGGTGGAACCATGCAGCCCTCACACAGCTGCTCCAGCAGATGTAGCAGCAACTACTGCTGCCCCTGCCTCAGAGCAGGAGAAATCACCCAGGGAGGTTGTTAGGTCCAGCAACAGATGGACCAGGGCCTTCATAAGCACACAGACATATTTGGAGAGATGTTCTGAAATCAGCATTCTGCCCTCAGGATTGAGAAGGCTGGCATGATTAATAATCACGTATGAGAAGTATGATTCATAGATTATACCATACCTTTCTTCAGTTTCACTACTTTTATTTGTGTTCTTTCATCCGTTTGCAACATGCAGGTGAAATTATGATGCATGTCCTGGTCTGTTACTTTTTTAATCCGTAGTAGCCTCGTGACATAGAACTTGTTTCCCAGCCTGCAACAAGGAATAGTGAGAGTAACATTATCTGTACAGAAATCTACAACCAGTTGACAGGAACATTTTGAAGAAAACGCTTTTAAAATAACCTCAGACTGAGGCTGTACAAAGTGCAGGACATAATCACATACAAAAGTGCAGTATTTTCAGGAAACCTACTGTAATTTTTTTAACTCTTCTTCACATATTGAAGGTTCATTCTCAGGGATACCTGTGCATTTTTCAGGAAACGTTTGATTAATTAACCAGTAGAGGCTGGCATCTTCTTGCATATAATAACCCAAGAAACCTGTGCAATTGAGTATCTCTCCTTTACCTAAACAAAGCATAATATGAGAAGATCTAGTCAGAAGCAGCATTCACATTCACAGTGCAGTAAAATGTCAGCTTTCCAGGCAACGTATCCCATGAGCTGTGCTCCTTTTTGGACATCGTAGCCCCTGCACGATGTTTCATAGGTGTTCCATCTGCACTAGTGGTGGTTTGGACAACCAGGCACAGGGCTCTGTTGCACCCAGTTGCAGAGTGACAATCATCCACTTCTTTCTCACAAACTGTGACAGCCAGAAGAGTTTAAATAGGCCAGAGAATGTCAGGCTTTAGAGAACTAAAGGGAGTTGGACTCAATGATCCTTGTGAGCCTCTTCCAACTCAGATTTTCTTTGATTCTATGAAGTAGACTGTGTGCTGCAGGCAGACAATAGGAGAGGACAACCTATCACCAGTGCCCCAGGGCCAGGTAAAAGTAAGTAACTAGTAAGAGAAATTACAACCAATTGATTATAATAGCTATACGATACAATATTACTCAATAAAACCAAAACCTGTTAGAGCCTCTGCTGAAGTCTCACAGAAGAAATCCTCATCCCAGCACCACACCTGGAAATCAGCATAATCCTGAATATGTGAACAAACGCTTAGTCACTCTGCTACTTTGTACCATTTCAAAGCACTCATTGGAAGTGACAGGAATGACCCCATAGAGTCCAGTTAATTATAAGAAAGAGCAAAAACAAAAGATAACTGTACACTTGGAAAAATAAAGGCAGAAGGCCACAGCTCTGGAGTATTAGATTTGCAAGGTATTTTATTTTAAACATTGTCATAGGAAGCTGCAACTTTACACCACCATTTCTAGGCTATGCCAGCATCATTTCCAGGAATACATCTAGAACACCCTTTATTAAGCCACAAAAGATGCATGTTAGTTCTTGTTCAGGCCATCATGCACAAATGCTTTCCAGTAGGGGAGGCCTGCCAGGAGTTTTCTAAGGGCACACATTATAAACTGACTTCTCAAGTTGTAAGAGTGGATGCTACCAGTGGAACTGCTTAAGACCCTTTAAGCATAATCCAGAGGAAAATCTGTCCATTTTAGGTTTGGACTTTAGAAATCCAAATCACAGTTACATAGATTGAGACACAGACCTAAACTTCTAGTACCATCTACCTTGCAACTCTGACTTGATACACAGCAGCTATTTTCAGGGAAATACTATAGAACGCCATCTAAACGATGACATATTTGAAAGACCATGGATCTAGCTCATCCAAAATTCCCTTCACTCTCCACCATGCCATTTGTCTCATCACTCAGCAGCTAGTTCAATGACCTTATCAAATGCTCTTATCAAGGCGTATAAGGGTGGAAGACAAGTGGTTCATAATTGTTTGATGCTGAATGCTGCTACCTTCTAAGAGTTGTGACAAGCGCAGTAAGTGGGAAGAACTGTGCAGGAAGGGTGTATTGGGAGGCTGGGAGACATGAGGCATCATAGGATTGGGTACTATCGTTGGAAAAGGGACCTACCAACTGGTATTTGTAGGAAGGAAGAAAAACAGGTATCTGAGGTCCTGACTGAGCAAATGAGACACTCGTATGAGCAACAGCGGAGGTAAATATGATTTTTCAGACTTGGAAAGGAAGGAGTAGGTAACCAGATGGCAGAAGTCCTCAGACACAGGAGAGGAAAAAGACAGGTAAATTTCTGTTGTTAAAAATTAATTACAGCCACAATCACAAAAATCCTGGATTCTACCCAACTCTGTGAAGCCTGAAGACCATGTTATCTAACCTACTCCCAGTTAGAAGCACAGTTAAGATCTTGGCTTTTGACAATGTAACCAATTACTTGCAGCAGTGACAGATCT